ACACTTCATTCTGCTCCCCTCCACCAGGGTCCTGTCCTGTCATTCTTGTCCATTACAGCTTATTTCTGACTCTGGGATGGGGTGTGTACTTTGTACATAGATAAATCTGATCCTCACTAAGCTGTCCAACTCCAGGCAAACCCCAGCTCTGTGATTATGGCAGGGAACTGCTGTAGCCTGCCAGATTTCTCCGTTACAGATTTACTTCCTGTGCAGAGGAGTCCCCCTCTCCCAGGTGGCTGGCTTCCTCTATCATCCAAGAGAACCACACAACCAACCGAACACCCTCAAAAGTTCCCTACATTTAGGCTCTTTGCTGCCCTCTCTTGATGTACTTTGACACTGACACACCAACCCAGGAACATCAGAAGTGAGCCTTCGTCTCTCTCCTCACTGCTGCCTCACTCCATGCCTGACAGCCACTGAATGATCTCCAAACAAACCTGAACATCTGATCGTCTGAAATGGAATTCAAATTACCTCTGCTCTTCAAATTAGCTGAGAATAGGAAATGAATTCCCAAATCCTAAACACCAAGGCAATGGGATGTCCAACAATGTGGGTAGTTGTTAGAGGGCTGCAGGGAGCTGAGAGAGGAAATGAGTATTAAGGCACAGGCTCCTCCCCCTCTGCCAGTAGGATTTCCTTTTGCCAAGTTGTTTTAGCCACTTATGATCCATGTTGCACATCCACAAAATGAATATAACATTACCTCTGGGCCATTTGAGTAAGCAAAATCCCAAAATAGTTAGCACTCAGGTAGTGCTTATTATCGTGCCAGGCACCGTGCTGAGAGTTTGGTGCATTCCGTCTCTTAATCTTCCTAACATCCACAAGAGATAGAGACTACCCCAATCTCATTTTACAAATGGGAAGACTAGCTATGGGGGTACTTTTTAAAAATGTTGCAGTGTGTTGTATTTGACTGAGATTTTGACTTAGGACAACAGAAGCTAAAGTCAAGAAAAATAGCCACATAGTGAATACATAGCCAGGACGTCAGGGACACAGGGAGGTGACTGGTAGGGTGGAAGGGGAATGAGCAGCAGTGGGAGTCACACAGAGAAGGGCTTGGATGGGGTACTGAAGAGCACAGCTGTGGCCTCAGCCTTCCTAGATCTGAATCTCATTTGGCCAATTGTTAGCTAACCTCAGGCACTTAACCTTTCTGACCTCTGTAAACTGGAGATAACAACAAAACCTGCCTCACTGGAAATATTACAGGTAAAACACTTAGCAGAATGCCTGGTAGATGGTAAGTGCTCAATTAAATGCTAGCTATTGGCTTAATCACTTGTGAATCTGCACAGTTTTTTTTTTGAAGATCAAAAGTTGCAATCCCAGCAAGTCATTTAATGTATGAATAAAACTGGCCTGTGTGGTATATTTTTAAGGATCCAAGGAAACTAGCAGTTGGCCAGAAGCATAGTTCAGGGTTTCTAGAATGTAGAATGACAGAATCCAGGACTGTGGCAGGTGGCTCCCAGGAAGACCAGGGACTAGGGGATGAGTCCAAGGGAAGAAAGACAGAAAACTGCAGTTTCCTTTCTTTTATGTCCCTTTACTTACTGTACACACACACACACCCAAACAAAAAACAAAAAACAACAAAAACAAAACAAAACAAAACAAATGCATGCCTGTGTCTCCTTCTATGGCTGAACAGATTAGCTTTTAGCCTCATCCCTCAGACCTGCTGCATGTTCTGGACAGCACTTTGACCTTCAGTGCCATCCCTAGCACATGCCTGGGTCCTTCTTGCCTTGCCAGCCCAGCAAAACAGAAGGTGCCAAACAGCTAATAAACAGCAGGTATGGCCACTTCACTGGTGGACATGAGAGTCAATAATCAGTAGTTGCAACAGCGCGTGACCCTGGATGAGGACCATCTGTCTGGCAGGTATGGTTTAATTGAACTAATTCTTAAATCGAAAATTAGCACATATTGGATGGCCAAAGGCCAGCTAGCCAGCTCCCTCCAGGTCTCACTTCAGAACAGGGACAGACAAGAAGGACTTAAAACCTTCTTGAGCCATTAACTTTACCAGTGTAGTTATTTTTCTTACTCCCTGTTTTACTGTAGTGTTCCTTAAAAGGATGAGGAACAGTGTGCTTGTCTCACATGTATAAAGGGAGAGAGAGAGGGGCCGGGCGCGGTGGCTCAAGCCTGTAATCCCAGCACTTTGGGAGGCCGAGACGGGCGGATCACGAGGTCAGGAGATCGAGACCATCCTGGCGAACACGGTGAAACCCCGTCTCTACTAAAAAATACAAAAAAACTAGCCGGGCGAGGTGGCGGGCACCTGTAGTCCCAGCTACTCGGGAGGCTGAGGCAGGAGAATGGCGTAAACCCGGGAGGCGGAGCTTGCGGTGAGCTGAGATCCGGCCACTGCACTCAGCCTGGGTGACAGAGCGAGACTGTGTCTCAAAAAAAAAAAAAAAAAATCCACACTGCACTAGGCCTGGGTGACGGAGCGAGACTCAAAAGGCCCCCAAAAAAAAAAAAAAAAAAAAAAGGAAGAGAAAGAGTGTGGTGCATTTTTATCTACTTCACAGACTGTCCACTACTAAATGGAATCCCTTAGAAAACACCCAGCTCCACTATCCAGAATGGAGGGTGGTCCTGTTGGCTGACTTAACTTTCCTGAAGAAGAATGGGAACATGGGAATAAAGGGCTCAAGAGAAGAATGTCTCTGGACTTTAATAGGAAATGTGCAGTTGAGTGACCTTCCTCTGGCCATAGTTCAAAGTACCACCAAATTGGACTCTATTTTCCTGCGTTCTGTTTTCATTTTTTAAATTTCAGATAGGCAGGCACTATGGTCTTGGGGAAAGAGTTCTTCATTCTAGATCTCCACAGAGTTGGAGCTGAACCAGCAGCTTGAAATTTGCATCTCTATCAGTCTTCTCTGACACCTTCTTCAGAAACTCTTGGAATCGCTGCCTCTAGCTGACTTCTTACATTTTGGCTGGAACTTCATTTTAGAAAAGACCATCGCCTCTCATGAACATCAGACTTTGTTCTTTCTGTGTGTGGCTTTTTAACTTTCCTGGCTGAACAACCTATGCTTGACAGGAAGACTTCATCTTCCCTCCAGCTAAGTTAAATCATTAGAGCAACTTCAAATTTAGAAGCCTCCATTTCTTACCATTTCTAGCAGATCTGTCTTAATTGTTCTGACTAAAATAATTTTTTTCTCATTCAAATTTTATTAATTCAGAAGTGTTTGTCTGATTTTACAGTTCTTAAACTACATTGGACTAAACACACACCTCCAGGATTCAATACACCTTAAATATTAAGGGCAATTTCCCATTTCAGAGTAAAGAGAGTGCCCTGAGTCAGATTCTTGCCTTTCTCACTTTCTGGAGGCCCAGAGATTGTCTTTATTCCTAACAGTAACTGTGACTGAGTCCCATCTGTGAGCCAGACTAGGCATTCATTCATTCATTTATGAGACTGAGTCTCACGCTATCACCCAGGCTGGAGTGCAATGGCACGATCTCGGCTCACTGCAACTTCTACCTCCCAGGTTCAAGCAATTCTCATGCCTCAGCCTCCCAAGTAGCTGGGACTACAGACACCTGCCACCATACTCAGTTAGTTTTTGTATTTTTAGTAGAGACAGGGTGTCACCATGTTGGCCATATTGGTCTTGAACTCCTGACCTCAATTGATCCGCCCGCCTCTGCCTCCCAAAATGCTGGGATTACAGGCGTGAGCCAGCACACCTGGCCCAAACTAGGTATTTTAATCCTTTCAGACTGCTGTAACACAATTCCATAGACTGGATAGCCCATAAACAACAGCAACTTATTTCTCACATTTCTGGAGACTAGAAAGTCCAAGGTAATGGCACCAACAGATTAAGTGTATGGTGAGGACTCATTTCCTGATCCATAAGTGGTGTCTTCTTGCTGTGTCCTCACATGTGGAAGGAGCTCGCTACCTCTCTGGGTTCGCTTTTATAAGGACACTAAGCTCATTCATGAGGGCAGAGCTGTCATGACTTGATCACCTCTGCATTTCCTAATACCTTCTAATACCATCACCTTGGGGATTAGGGTTTCAACATATGAATTTGGGGGGTACAAACATTCAGAACATTGTATTTCACTCCTGACTCCCCCCAAAACCTCATGTCCCTCTCATATTAAAAATATGTTCATTCCATCTTACTAGCCCCTGAAGTCTTAACTTGTTCCAGCATCAATTCAAAAAATTTAAATCCAGTCTCATGTAAGTATCATCTAAATCAGAAATGGGTGAGACTCAAGGTATGATTCATCCTGAGGCAAATTGCTCTCCAGTTGTAATACTGTGAAATCAAACAAATTATGTGTTTCCAAAATAAAATGACAGACACAAGACAGACATTTCGATTCCAACAAGGAAAAACAGGAAAGAAGGAAATTGTGATGGGTCCCAGGCAAGTCCCAAACCCAATTGGACAAGCAACATTAAATCTGAAGACTTGAGAATAATCTGCTTTGCTTTCATGTGTTGTCTTCTGGACACACTTGGACAGAAGTTGGTCTCCTCTGGCTTAGCTGGGCACAGCCCACACTACTCCTTTTATGGCTTACAGTTGGGTGGCTTGCAGTTGGGTGCCTGTATCTCTCCCAGGCTGGAATCCCAAGCAAGTGGCTCTTCCAGTCTGGGGTCTCCGGGGTAGCACTTCCCTCATGGCTGCACTAGGCATTGTCCTAGTTGAAGACTCTCCACAGGGGCCCTGACCTCTCAGCAGACCTCTGCCTTAGCTTAGTGCTTGAGGTTCTGAGAGCCCCATCCTTTGAAATCTAGAGGGGAGGTAGCCATGTCTTGCCAGCTCATGCACTGTGTGAAATGGCACCACATGGGTGTTACCAAGGTTTTCTGCCTGTACCGTCCGGAGGGGCAACCACCACTGCACGTAGGCCTGCTGGAGCTGAAGCTTAGGTAGTGAAAAAGTGCTTGGTGGAAATCAGGAAGCAGAACTTTAAAAAAGCACTGGGTAGTGAGCCCAAGGTTCCATGGGCCCCTCCTTTGAAACTGTTCTGCCCCCAAGGCTCTTGCACATCCAGCCTTTGGTGGGACTGGTGGCCTCAAAGATCTCTGAAATGTCTTTGGGGTCATTCTCTCAGTGTCCTGATGACTAGCACTTGGACAATCTATACTAATTTCCTTATCAAACAGTTGTTTGCCCACACCTATGAGTTACTAGCTGTGTTATTCATCCACTGGCTCTTGCTTAACTTTGGCCAAGGGCTGCTCCTAGGAGGTTAATTCCTGACACTTCTGAACTGTTCTGTGCGTGAGCCACACGCGCTACTATAGTCCTATAAAGCTCTTGAGCTGAGAGTTGCAGGTGCTTTCATAAGAAGTCGAGTCATGTAGAAGAGGGGGATGGCAGTGGGAGATGGGCGGGACGATACCAGCACCTACTTGACTCTCCCCTGTCTAAGATCGTTCCATTGGTTTTCCACCAACTTAAGATTTAGCTAAGCTCCTTCTCTTTGCTTACAAATTTGCCTCCTGTCTAACCTTGTAAGATTATCTTCTACCTCTGAATCCTAGACAGTGATACCCACTGACTATGTCATGCTCTGTCACACCCTCACTCATCTGTCTAGGCGATTGCTTCCACCTGAGTTACCCTCATTAGGCCTAACACATTTTCTCTTTCAAGACTCTGAGCTCTCTCTTCCATGATGCATTTCCAGCAGTTAGTCTCCTCTATTCCCTGTGCCTGCATGTTACATGTACTGCATTGTAACAATGGTCTTTCATATTTTTTAAATATATATGTATTTGAAATACATACGATTATATATTACATATAATTGAATATATATTATATATATTATAAAAAATACTTCTTAAATTTAAACAGAACAAAAATGAACAAAAAAAATGCACTGAAACTCTACCTCAGAGAGATAAATATCTTTAATAATTTGGCGAACATGCTACCAATTATGTATTTCTTCACAAACACATGCTCACATACACAATCACATAAATTTATTCAAATATGATTTTCTACTAGTTTCGTAATTTACTTTTATTTTTTACTCAACAGTATGTCGCATTCATCTTTCGAAGACAGTAAATGTAGATCCACACCTTCACGTGTGATGGTTGGATATGTTTGTTAATATATGCTGTAATTTGTTTATCCAAGTCTCTCTGAGTCGTGTAAGCTATTGTCTGCTGTCAAAAGCCCCATAATGGGTGGACCTAGCAGGGCCGTTGCTTAGTTACCTGTCTGTCTCCCCCTGTTGGCAGCTCCAGAATGGTGTCTTTGACTGCTCACACCCGCTTTCTTCTAAGGAAAGAAGAGATCTTTCTCTTTGGCTTAGTAGTTTCTGTGTCTTTTACAAATACTTTTCTATAAGGCAGAAGTGGGTGATCACAATCTCTTCAATCATATACTTCATTACCGATTACCTAATTAAATCAAGGAAAGCCTCACAACACCTTAGAGCAATGGGTTTTAAACACATTTGATCATGACTCGCTTTAAGAGACACATATTTTTATTATGAATCAGTATGTGCTTTTATATAAACAAGAGTTTATAAAATGATGCTCTTACAGCATGTAATGTATTCTGATATTTTCTTTCCATTCTATCTCATTTTAAATATATATTTTTAGTGAATATGGCATTGTATTTATTTGTTTAAATGTGGATGTAACTCTCTAAATTGACTTCATGAGTCACTATTGGGTTGCGACCACAGTGTGTAACACACTCATGTAGGATACCAGGAGGAAGACTGCTGAGGCTTGTTAGTCCTGCTGCCATTTTTTTTTTTTTTTGACCTTACAGATTCACTATAAGCATACGACCCTGAAATAATATTTTCTTCTCCTAGCTGCCCAAGGTTTTATATTTTAAACGCCAATCTCACTATCACCACTACCACTAGGTAACCACATACACATCTATTCTCGTTGACAGAAATGGCTTCCAGCAATGAACTTTTGAGGGATTATACTCATGTGCCAAATAAAATATGACATTGTATGTGTGAGTACGTACACATACACACAGAGGTGGCCCAGGCTAGGCAGAAACTGAAACATAGGAAATAGAGTCCCTATACATAAAGTGAGTGCAGTCTAATGAAAAAAAGGATAACAGTTTCAGATAGATTGAAACTCCTAACACAGTTCTGCTTCTGTGATTTGGGATGATGTCAGAGGCCTCAAGTCAGGATCCAAGTGTTCTAAGGAGGCAAAACTACCCTCTAACCAGCACAAAGGACAAACTGTCCAGGTCCTGTTTTATTCATTATTGGGAATTCACCTCACCTCCCATCCACACTTCCAGCATAAGAAAGCAAATCTTCTATCAATTCCCGTTCATGAGGACCAAGGGGTCTCCATGGGATACCGCCTTTCCCCTACCAATGACATGAACCTCTGGCAGGCAGGACTCTCCCCACTTAAGTGATTAGCCACTCCCCTGCTCTCCTTTGTCACCCGAACCTTCCCATCAGAAATTACTTTCCAGAAAAGACATTTGAAAGAATTATAAGAGTGACAATCACATTTTCTTTTTGGCCCTTTTAGCTTTAGTTTTGAATGACAGCCCTGAGAAGTAGGGGTTACAGGTGAATTTATCATTTTTGTTGATGTCACTCTATTAGATAACAGCACCAACCAACCATCTGATATCTCACATATCCCTTTTTTTATCCTAGCCACCTATAAGTCCTCAAAAAAAAGCACTAGGATTCAGATCTTGGGTTCCATGCCAGCGGAAGCACTGAAACTTTGGGAGAAAAAGGACTATTCCGGAACCGGAGCTTTTAAAATGTATTTATTGCTGACTTACGCAGCTTCTTGGTTTTTCCTGTTTTAATCAGGTACATAGCTGCTATGTTTGTATAAATTTATCATTTAATGTAATCAGTTGATAATTGAGTGTGCTGTGCTTCTCAGATTGCAGGACACAATTCAAGGTTCTGTGAGGAATATACAAAAGTAAAGAATATATTCCTGGCTCTCAAGAAAAAGTAATTCTGCTGGAAGAACAGGGTGCATGTATATGAAAAGAGAATGTACAGCAATGATCACTAACTACAAAATAAGTCATTTAGAAAATCAGTTCTCTAGGAGTTCAGAGCAGGTTTTATAAACGTGGGCTCTAGCTGGAGAGGTAAAATTTGGTGTAGATCTGCAAGATAGGTAGCATTCGAACAGACTGTTGCCTGAAGAATAGCTCCTGGACTGCTAAATACAACAAAATGACAGAGAGGAAATATGGTAGGGTTTGGGAAGTAGTGAGTGAATCCTTCAGGGTTCCAGAGCTACCCTGGAGGTCAAGTTTAGGACTGGACCAAATCAGTCTATTCAAGACCCAATATTACTGCATGCTTAGAGCATAAATACATAAATAAATCCTTCGATTTGCAGTTTGTCATCTCGTCCCCCATTTGTGATGAATTTTTTGAATGCCACCTCTAAGCATGTATTTCCAAAAGCTCTCCAGACGGCAATCTGTGTTGGGCTGGCTCAGTGTGGAGCATTCTGTGGAATCCTCCGCTAATGAGTGATTGGAGAGCAAACGTGAACAGTGATTGAATGGTAGTCACGTACAAGCTCACTTGATACTGCTTCGGGGATCTGCAGTGTTGTTTTTAAATCCCTCGGCTTTTCCTTGATAAATTAGTTACAGTATTTATAATATGCAGCCAATAGTCTAATTATAAGACTGTTTATCTCTTGCATGCGGAAGGCAGGATAATGTGAAGGAAAGCACATTGGTTTCCAAATTGGAACAGACCTCGATTTTGCAGTTAACTCCCTGTGGAACCTTGGGCAAGTCACTTATTCTCCCTGAGTCAAATTATCTCATCTGCAAAATGGAGGTAATACTTTTCAATTCACAGTGAGTGTGAGGATCAATTTGAGGACACTGTATACAAAAGGATTTCATAAACTCTAAATCACTGTATAAGCTTAGGGTATGATGGTTTTTCCTCATCACCACCAGACTAATTTATTAAACTGCTAATTGGTGATGTTACAGAAATTCATCATTAACGTTTTGTTTCATCAAGTTCTAGAACAGTGAATCTGAACTTTATTTGATTATAGATGTAAATGAAGATAACAAAAAAGAAGAACAATGACAGCTATTACTTATTTGCGCTAACTATATGGCAGGCACTACCATAAAAGTTTCACACATACTATATCATTAATTGTCAGAACTCCACGACGTAGGTTCTACTATTATTTCCACTTAGCAGACAGGGACGGTAAGACACAGAGAAGTCATCCAGTAAATAGACGAGCTGGACGGATTCCAACCCAAGCAGTTTGGCACTAAAATCTATGTTTTAAACAACAACCTCATCCCTGAGTCAACAGACATTCAAATTTCTTAGTTTCCCTAAAGATCTGTGGATCACAAATTTAAAGCTCCCACTTTGCAGGAAAATAATAGTCCACAGTTAGTTTTCTTCAGAATGTATGATTCAGTTACACATATTTTTTTTTCCTAACACTGCAGCTGTATTTCAGGAGAAACACACACATAGAGACCTGAAATGGAATCTCCTGTTCCTCACTTCTACCTTCCCTCCTTTTTATCCTGATTATATGTGAACGCCTGTGTTTGAAAATGTGAACGCTAGAGATCAACGTGCTCCACTCTTTCCTGCCAGTCCATGAGGTTCTCTTCTATCAACCTGACCAGGTAACTCCTTGCTGAGAACAGCATGAATGTTCACAATGCACTGCTGCTCAGTCCTTAAAAGTGAATATTGTTTGGATGAATGTCGTCCTACTTCAGAAATCAAAGAGCCTCCTCCAGAGTTGGCAGCCCAGAGCTCTTAGAAAGGAAATTTAAACAGCTTCCCTAACTCACAGGGAAACCTGCTACCAAAAGAATTACATATGGAGCCAATGTAAAGTGTTGCTCAAAATGGCCATCATGGATAGCAATTTTCAGTTGGCAAACTCCTTCCCAAAATGTTCACTCCAGGAAGGAGATGCTTGAGAAGACAGATAGATACGTGAAACCACAACTGCATGCCAAGGTGCCCTGGAAGATGTGTGAAGGTCTCTGATGCCGGGAGATCCCAGCTAGAACAGGGATTCTGAGGTCACAACTTTCATTCCAGAGGTCTTTGGACTGCACATAGCTCGTTCTTACATATATTTTGCGGAATGAGAAAAGAGAAGATTTCAGCAGCATACAGCTCAACACTCCTATGAAGTCATTATGGAAGAATTACCACACTCCAGAGTGTGAGCTTTTTACCTTGACAACATTTCCCTAGGTAACATTAAAAATATATCATCTATAAAATTAAATGACATTTGTTTTAAATGTTCTTTCTTCTTCTCACTTTTTCTCATGAAAAATAGAGGGCGTTTAATTGTTTGTGGGGAAGCTGGGAACGAGATGGCAGATCCACCCAGGAAGAATGAGGATTAGGAAAGCTAGCATCACCAGCATTGTGTTAACATTTGCACACGTTATGTTATTTTATCCTCCTCATAACTTACTGGGGGGACACTATTATTTTCTTACCATGAGAAAATGGAATCTCAGAGAGTCTGCGTATCTTGCCCAAGGTCGCATAGCTGGTTATTAAGAGTGTCTGAACCTAGGCATTCAGGCTCCACAGCTCCTACACTCTACTCTCAAAACCAACATACTGTTTCTTTTTTGAGATGGAGTCTTGCTCTGTCGCCCAGGCTGGAGTGCAGTGGCGTGATCTTAGCTCACTGCAACCTCCACCGCCCGGGGTTCAAGCCATTCTCCTGCCTCAGCCTCCTGAGTAGCTGGGATTACAGGTGTGCACTGCCACATCTGGCTGTTTTTATATTTTTAGTAGAGACGGGGTTTCACCATGTTGGTCAGTCTGGTCTTGAACTCCTGACCTTGGGATCCGCCCACCTCAGCCTCCCAAAGTGCTGGGATTACAGGCGTGAGCCACTGCACCCGGCCAACATGCTGTTTCTAAACAAATATTTATAAATTACTTACTGTCAGCATGTGAACTGGAGACGGAAAGAAGCAAATCCTTATTGCATACTGACCTAAATTTAACATTAAGTTGAATGACTAGATAGTTTTATCCCTATTTTAATTCCAGTTTCATTGTTTTCTTTGCAGAAATAAAAAGCAAAGGTTAAAGAATGTGCTTAAGGTTACTCTGTAAGGAAGTAACGGAGCCAGAATCCACGGACCATCTGGGACCCTGATACCATCAGGAACACAAAAATGGATGCAAATCAAAGGACCCTCTTGATCTGTTGATCTTGCTGCTGCCTCATTTATTTCTTTAATAGCAGGTGGACATCCACCTCAGAGGGGGCTGAGATACAGGCAGCTGTGGCAGAGCCATCTGGTGAGATTCTGCACGGCCCTCTGTTTCATGCCTATTTATTTATTTATGTTTTTTGAAACAGAGTCTTGCTCTGTTGGCCAGGCTGGAGTGCAGTGGCACGATCTCGGTTCACTACAACCTCCATCTCCCCAGCTCAGACAATTCTCTTACCCCAGCCTCCTGAGTAGCTGGGATTACAGGCATGTGCCACCATGCCTGGCTAATTTTTGTATTTTTTTTAGTAGAGACGGGGTTTCGCTATGTTGGCCAGGCTGGTCTCGAACTCCTGACCTCAGGTAATCCACCTGCCTCAGCCTCCCAAAGTGCTGATATTACAGGCATGAGCCACTGTGCCCGGACTTCATGCCCTATTCTTACCGCAACTTTAAACTGGCCTCTGAATTTGGACTTGCTTGGACCTCCAAGCTCCTCCTCATCTTCCCGGCCAATCCAGCCCTCAGAATTGCTAGCTGGGTTTGTCCTCCACTCACTTCCTAGTTTCCAGATATGTATTTTCATGCTGCCCACTCGTGGCTCCAGTTCAGCGCTAGGCCACTCCCTCATACTCTCTTCCCACTTACAAGGCGGGGTAGAGAACATGGGATCTGAAAGATGATCTCCTCCCCTGGAAGCTCACAGCATAACCAGAAATTCAGAATGCACATTTGTGAAACAACAGATCACAATACCAAGACAGCTTGTAAACACTGAGAATGTGTGAAGATTGAACAAAGAAGCAGAGAGTTCAAAGGAATTCAACATAAATCTAGGCTGTTTTCTAGGAGCCTGGTGACAGCTGAGCTTTCCTCTTACTAACAAGTCCAGAGCTATGCAACCTCCCCAGTGGCCAGAGTTTTGACTTTGAATAGAGATTAGCTAACTAACTACCAATAAACAAGCCCATATGCTTTTAGCAAGTAGTATGCAAAAGAAACTCACAGGGCTTCTTTATTTACTTAGCGGGATAACGCATCTCCCTAGGATCTGCGCAGGGAGGACAGCTACTTCTGAGGATGCAATGACATGGCTTTTAGCTCAAACCTTCACATGCCACCCCTCCCTCATTCATTTTCTTACCCCATAATCATTACCCTAAAAAGAATTTTCACTTTAGAAAGTGACCTTGCTGGGCTGAAGCTTGAAGTTTTAAAAGCCCCCTAAGGTTTCATTTTGAAAAGTCATCATGGACTTTAGATTGACTTTCTCTTGAAGGCAGGTTAAACCTTGTTCATTTGGGAGCACAAAAGAGAAGGTTTAGGCATCCCAAGGCTTTAATTGCCAGCTGTCTTATTTCTGTGTTCACATTTTTTTTCTTCTCTCCAGGAAGATTAAGATGAGTGGAATAATTTCTTTTTAGTTATCATTGTAACATTCGGGTTTTCCATTACTGTCAATTTTTTGAAACTTGTCTCATTAGCATTTTCAGAAGAGTTTAAAAAAACCTTTCATCAAGGAAAAAAATGTACATGATATCTAAATGCAAGTAAGTTGTCACGGGATTTCATTGACATAAATTTGTCCTCTCTTGTCTTCATTTCTGCTTTCTCAGTTCCTCTTTTGATGATATCTTAGAGCAAGCTTGTCCAACACGGCCCAGAACGGCTTTGAATGAGGCCAACACAAAGTCAAAAACTTTCTTAAAAACATTACGAGATTGCTTTTTGGAACTTTTTTTTTTTTTTTTTTTTTTTTTAAGCTAATCGGCTGTCGTTAGTGTTAATGTATTTTATGTGTGGCCCAAGAAAATTCTTCTTCCAGTGTGGCTCAGGGAAGCCAAAAGATTGGACACCTCTGTTTAGAGCCTAGGAACCATACCCATGGGTCTTTAGAGACTTAGAAAGAAGTGGCCTAGATTAACAAATAAAGCATCTTAAAAGCAAGTTATAAAGAAGGATTGTGGGGCTGTTATAACATACCCCCTAAAACTTCTAAGAACAAAGAAAGAAATGCCAAAAAGCCCAATAGAAGCAACAATATAAATAACAAAATAACATTCTAGAGGAAATTAGCCCATGACTACAGGGTTTTCTGCAAGCTTTACATATTTTGTGTGTTTTTAAGTGAGAAGGAGAGCTGGGTTAGTGAGCAGACCTAAGGAGTCTTGGGTCTCCTTATTGCCAATACAACCAGCAGGTAAGAGCTCCCTGGTGTTACACCTCAGCGACGGAGATCTAATCAACTCTTTATTTCTCCTAACCCAAAAGTGCTTTTGTAAATGCATATGGATTAGCACTAAGGAGCTAATTATTTTGTAAGCTGAGATCACTTTTCCAAAGAGACAAACTCTCCCAGGATCTAGAGCAACAGCCTCTTTTATAGTTTTTCCTGGAAATGGAGACATTGACTTGGAAGTTGCATCAGCAAGTTGAGCATGCGTTCTCCTGTGGGAGCATTGCAAGTGAGGAAATGTGGGTCTTGTATGTGGCCGCAGACAGAGAAGACATGTAGACTGAATGGCTTTCAAGCCAAAAATGCAGAATTGGCAATATCTAGAATGCTCACTCCTTATCTCCTAGGCGATGTTTTCTTCCAGCTTCATTTGTTAGAAACTGTATGGTACCCACAGGACATAGAAAGTATCGTTGTCATTGAAGAGAGCCAGCATTTTTGAAACAGGAAAGATTCGCTTGTCCCCCTCTCAGGGCATGCAATGGGGGTGTGGCTCCCTTCTTCAGTGCCCTGCTGCTCAAACCTCCAGGGGAGCATACAGATGGGCAGGCTGTGGGGTCCAATCCCACAGCAGTGTCTAGGGGTGAATGTTCACAGGTGAAGCCCCAGTGGGCGGGTGTTACAGCATGCCCCCTTTTTTTTTTTTTTCTGAGATGGAGTCTCGCTCTGTTGCCCAGGCTGGAGTGCAGTGGCGCGATCTCGGCTCACTGCAAGCTCCGCCCCCCGGGTTCACGCCATTCTCCTGCCTCAGCCTCCTGAGTAGCTGGGACTACAGGCACCCGCCACTTCACCCGGCTAGTTTTTTGTATTTTTTTTTTTTTAGTAGAGACGGGGTTTCACCATGTTAGCCAGGATGGTCTTCGATCTCCTGACCTCATGATCCGCCCGTCTCGGCCTCTCAAAGTGCTGGGATTACAGGCTTGAGCCACCGCGCCCAGCAACATGCTCTTTTAGTTTGTTATCTATAGGTGGCTTGTATTAACCAGCTCAGTTAGACCCTCTGCCTTGTCACAAGGACAGAGGATCTTCTGTATCCCGGGTTCTTGCCTTGGTGTACTGGAAGAATCAGATCACATGTGGGCTTGGAGAATTAGTGCAAAGTTTTATTGAGTGTAAGAAGGTCTTCACCAATGGGGGAGCCAGAAGGGAAATGGTTTTCCCCTGGATTTGAGCCACTAGGCAGCCCCGGCTCTCCTCGGACTGCCCTGGCCAAACTCTTCCTCATCCTGCCAGCTGATGGCCTGTCGGCGGGCCAGCCTCTGTCAGTGTGCCCTTCTGCTCACCAGCTCCTCTCGACGTCCTCTCAATGACCAGCCACTTGTGCCTTCTTCCATGGATGTGCTCCTCTGGGCGTCTGGCCTCCTGGGTGTCTGCTCGCTAGGGTCTCATGTTTTTATAGGCGCAAGACGGGGATGTGGCCCGCCAGGGTGGTCTTGGGAAATGCAACATTTGGGCAGGAAATTCCTGTCCTCACCTAGGCCCATGGGGTGGAACCCTAGCCAGGGACCCACCTTTCTCTACCCAGCACTTCCCTTCTTTCCCCCTTCCGTATTATTTAAAGGGACCATGCTCTTCCCTTCCCAGTACTCTCATACCATTTTGACTGGCAATTTCTGCTCTGCCACTCTACTGCAAGAGAGAAGGTAGAACTCAGAGTATGAGTTGCTCACAGTCTGAGATGAGCAACTTCCTAGGCAGGGCTTTCTAAATGTGGTGAAAATAGACATTGAAGAGGGCACCTGTTTTTAAGCCTCTGTCATTTCACATACCCTTTATTTACAAACTCCACTTTTTGTATGCCCATTGAAGTTTTACCTTGTTTTGTGAAAGAAATTATTTTGTCTAATGAGGTTAAAAAAATCCATCGTCTGCAATCCATCATAAGCTTCTAAAATTTTTCTCCTAATTCAAAAAATATTCATTGACTACTTGCTACGCTCCAGGCATAGTTCCAGAAGCTGAGAAATCATTCATGAACAAAATTAACCAAATCTCTGCCTTCAGGGAGTTTCCAGGCAAGGACAAATTATAGAACAAATAAATTATTAAATTATTTGATGTATTAGAAGGTGATAAACATTATGGGAATAAATGAATTCTAAAAGGAGGTTAGAGAGTTGAGGAAGGGGAGGGTTTCATTTCAAACGGGGTGAACAAGACAGCTTCACTATAATGGTGACACCTGAAGAAGGAGAGGGAATGAGACATGTGACTACCTGGGGAAGGTGGGTTGTGGGGGCAGGGCGGGAAATGATCTAAGCAGAGGCAAAAGCACAAGCAAGCACCCTGAGAAGAGTTCATGCCTGTAGAACAATGCGTGAGGGGGCGAGGCATAAGGGGTCACATTGAACTTGGTAGCTCATTATGAAGGTTTTGACTTTTTATTTGAAGTAGGATGGGACTCCTTGGAGAGTTTTAATCAGAAGAGTAACATGATCTGACTTAATATTTTTAAAGGGCTTCTGGCTCTAATGTTAAGGCTAGACTCTAAGACGATAGAGGTGAAAATATGATTTTGTATTTTTCTGGCAATTAAGATAAAATACATTAGGTCAAATAAATTGGGTGGGCAGGAATGCAACGTTTCATCTACATAATCTGTCCTCAAATGCTTGCCTTGACTTCCCAGATGCAAATGTTTTTATAAAGTCACCCTTCCCTCTTAAATTTCCCAGAGTTTGAACCTGGATCATTCTTCATCAGAATAG